GTATACCTATTGGTAAAAAATGTTCCATTATAACATGGCAATCATGCGTCTTCAAACTCTTTAACTTGAGGTCTTTCATGGACACAAGTCTTCTAATATCTGAAGAGTAGCCTTCTGGAACTTTTACTTCACTGAGGAACTTACACAATGTTTTCTTCTCCTTTCTAGATAGAGTGTAAACAGCAGGTGGCAGATATGTTCGTCTTCCTTTCGTCACGGGCCCCAATTCAGTTCTCATCCCCATGTTTACCATGTCATTCCTTATGTTAACGCCATCCTTAGACTTTCCTTGTATATTGAGTAGCGTACCTATAACGCTGTCAAATACATTTTTTTCAATATGCATAACATCCAGGAAATGTCTTACGTACAACGACTTCCAATATGGAAGTTCAAAGAAAATTGACTTCTTCTTCCACCCACCCTTGACAATTGAATGTGCAAAAGGCTTGCCAAACTGAGTGCTCACATCTTTCACCTTTTCAAAAATTTGATCACCTGACAAAAAAGGCGGGGCTGTACGATGTTCGGCCTCTCCATTGAATGCTTTTCTCCACCCACGGTAGTGATGATTAGAATTTAAGAATCTACGATGGCCGAGAAAGACATTCTTCTGACAAAGCGCCAATCGTGTCGTATCGGTTTCATCTTCACAAACAGGACACGCCTTTTGACCCTTGTTGCTGTACCCGGATAGATTTCCGTATGCTGGAAAATCATTAATTGTTCCAAACAACATCGCCCTCAAGTTGAAACTTTCTTTCCTATACCCATCGTAAACCTCCACACCTCTCTCCCACAAAAACTTTAAATCTTCGATTAAGGGTGCCAAGTATACGTCTATGTCATTCCCTGGTTGTTTAGGCCCAGAAATTAGCATAGATAACATCATGTACTTACGCTTCATACATAGCCACGGAGGTAAGTTATAAATCATAAGAATCACAGGCCATGTGCTATGCGAGATACTTTGAATACCATGCGGGTTCATTCCATCAGTAGACAATGACAACCGAAGGTTTCTTGCTTCTTTTCCAAATTCAGGATATTCAGTATCAACTTTACTCCATTGTGGTGAGTCTGCCGGATGTCGCAACTTTCCATCAATAATTCTTTCATCTGCATGCCAAGTCAAGTGTCTTGAATCGGTCTCACTACGATACATGCGTCTAAATCTCGGAATTATAGGAAAATACCATAAGACTTTAGCAGGAGACAACTTTTTCTTATATCGAGGGGCACCACATTTAGGACACTCATTCAACGCTGCATACTCGTTTCGAAACAAAACGCAATCGTTTGGACATGCATGTATCTTATCATAGCTCATTCCAATAGAAGACAACATCTTTTTGGCTTCATACGTTCGATTGGGAAGAACATTATCCTCTGGTAGCATATCTTTCATAAGGGCTAATAACTCTGTGAAACTTTTATCCGACCATCCATTGTCCGCCTTTAAGTTGTACAACTTTAACACCGCAGACAATCTTGTGAATTTTGAACAACCAACATACAACGGTTTCTCTGCATCGCTTACAAACCTCTCAAACATTTTGGGACAATCCGCAAGATCTTCTTCAAGCGCTTCTGCAATCTCTTCGACTCGATCACAATCGTATGTGTCTGTGCAATCGTCGTTTGAAGCATACTTCCTATTACAACTCGACTCAGCATTCCCGGTACTTTTCTCACCATGCATTGTCCAACATGTATAACTTCTATCAATTCCAAACCGTAGTAAATGAGATCCCAACTGATTCCCGTCAACCTTACCCCCGGCATAACAGCAACCCAAGCAAGGACACGGCATTCGAAGCGGGTCTTTGGAGTGCGCAACCGCAAACTCAACAAATTCCCATACCCCTTTCTCGTACTCTTTCGACAATCGGTTTGAATTCATCCATGTCTTATCCATGTCTTAATTAAGCTAAACAAAAACGGTCAAACTTTCACTCTTCACAAGTAACCCCTATGGCGAATTCAATTCACAAAGTTAGTAAGTACCTCACTTAACGATAAACGAAATTGACATCATGAATATTCCACATGCATGTCGAAATAATGAGTATTACTTAATATAATCTAAAAGTAAAATATTATAATTTAATTACATTACTTTTCTTTCTTAATAATAAATAGATAAATATATGAAATTAAAATTGTAAGAAATCTCTTTTAAATAAAAAGATCTTAACAGAGGTTAACAGGTGATGAAACAACCTTTCACCCTATGTTGACATCACTATGCAGAATTCTATCACTCTTCTCAAAGATATTTTCCAGCATCACAAGTCAATCCAAATATCAACAAACTATTTCAGGTTTTTGTCATGGTTTCAGCATCATCTCATCACTTGAATTCAATAATAACGACAGCACAAGCGAAAACAAAATCTTAACAGAACATACATGACGATTTACTCATAACAAAAAATTGATTTAATCATAAATCTAGAATATGAGCAAAATAAGTGAGATAAAGTATTTACGTGGATACTGAAGTTTGGTTGAGGCTGATGTTTGCATTGGCGGAGGATGAAGAGATCTGTTGTTGCGAGCTTGAGATGTCGGAGAATGAAGATAACAGGGAACCACGTTTGGACTTGACAAAGAGCTTTGAAGTAGGAGCGACGGAGATGGCTGAGGAAGATAAGAAAGGGATGTTGGAGGTTGAGATTGAAGTACGACAAGGGTGTTAGCAGTGAGAGTTTGTTGAGTTATTGACAGCAAGTGACGGTGAGGAACAAATGGAAATAGAAGAAGAATGGCGGCAGCAGTGAAGTAACGGTTGGATGAATCTGAGATTACTGGAGGTCGCGGATGGGGTTTTACGGATGGAGATGAGGCAGAAGTGAAGGTTATGGAAGTTCGTAACAGTGAGGTTTGGACTTTGGAGTGTGAAGGTTGATGTGAGAAGACGGTGATGTATGGGTTATGGGTGGATTATGAAACGCGTTAGTATAATTTTGTTTTTAAAAATTTTAATTTTAAAAAGGCTATGAAAGCGCTTTTGAAAAGCGCCTTAGTAGATGTAGCTATACCAGCGCTTTTAAGGGTAAAGCGCTCTTGTACCCCACCCCCTACCAGAGCGCTTTTGAAAAGCGCTCTCATACCCCCCCTTACCAAAGCGCTTTTCAAAAGCGCTCTCATACCCCCCCTTACCACAGCGCTTTTCAAAAGCGCTCTCATACCCCCCCTTACCAGAGCGCTTTTTAAAAGCGCTTTCATACCCCCCCCCCCCCACTATAAGAGCGCTTTTTTAGCGTGTTTTTTAATTTTGTCTTTAGCGAAGCCTATGCCAGCGCTTTTCCTAAAAGCGCTTTCGTAGGGGTGCTGCTAAAAGCCAAATTTGGTATAGTGACCTCGCCCTCCGTTTTTCTGTTGAGATTGCACGGCTACATGGCCATCCGAAATCCATCGTCTCCGACAGAGATCCCTTGTTCCTCAGTACCTTTTGGAAGGAATACTTCAAAATCAATGGAACACAATTAAAATACAGTACATCTTATCATCCAGAAACAGACGGACAAATAGAAGTTTTGAATCGCTCACTAGAAACGTACCTGCGATGTTTTGTCAGTTCCAAACCACGTCGGTGGTACAAATTCCTCCACCTCGCTGAGTATTGGTACAACACGTTCTACCATTCCGCCATTCAAATGTCGCCTTTTAAGGCTCTGTATGGCCGCGAGCCTCCGAATCTCACAGACTATATCTCAGGTTCCACCCACGAACACACTTGACCACACCTTGCAAGAAAGGCAACAGATCTTAGCAACCTTAAATGAGAACTTAAGGAAAAGTCGAATCCAGATGGAGAAACAAGCAAACTTGAAGAGAAGAGACTATACCTTTAATGTGGGTGATCGCGTCCTCCTCAAGCTTCAACCGTATCGCCAATCCACCGTTCATCACCAGACCTCACAGAAGCTAAGCCCTCGCTATTTCGGTCCCTTCGCGATCATTAAAAAAATAGGCGCCGTGGCTTACATGTTGGATCTGCCTTCCACATCTCGCATACACCCTGTTGTCCACATCTCTCTACTACGGCCTTACTTTGAAGGAACCACAAAACAAATTTCATCATCTTTTCCACCAGGGTTCTCACTTCCGTTTGAAAGAGCTTTGTCAACCCCTTCCACCTCCGCTATGCTGCAAGATACAACAAAGATGTTAGATGCACTGAAACCGGAACATGCAAAGACAAATAAAGGCCAAGCGGTCGTGGTTACCTCTCTAGATCTGAAAAACCAACTGGGAAAGCGTATCACCGAAGTACAGGAAGAAGATGTTCTTGGTAAGCATGTGAATAAACAAGTACATGAGGAAGATGAGAGAGTACTCGTTAGAGAGAAGGAAGAGAGTAAGAAGTTATGTTTGAGAGAGAGAAAGAATAATGAAACACAATTTCCCAACGTTACCTCTCTGCCACGCATTCATGAGGTGTTCCCTCCGCGCAGTTTCCCACGCATGCAGAACAGCTGTGCCCCACCTGTCCTCACGCATGCACCGCTTCAGCCACCTGCCCCACTTCCCAACGTTCCTCCACCGCCCACGTGTTCTCCCATCAATTCAGTTTCCTTTGGGCCTCATCTCACCAGCGGCCCAATTATCACACCACCAAATCCACATGTGAACCTTGAGGACAAGGTTCCTATTGGGCCAGGGAGTATTGTTAAGAAGCTAATCAGGCCCATTAGAGAGAAGAGAATTCCAAGTCATTTTAAAGATTTTTATTATTAATTTAAGGGTGTTGTTAGTAAAAGTTCTTTTATTTTATTAGTTGTACTGTTCTGTTTGGCCCATGGCCCATTAGTAAGGGTGACAACCCTAACTATTTAAAGTGTTAGCTTGTCTTGAATTGAATTAAGTAAGTTCAAAGTTATTTTTATGCCTCTTTCTTTTGATGCCACTTAGACCTAGTGATTTAAACTTAGCATAATCTAACAATTACCATCTAACTTTGCACATAGGAAATCAGACAGTACCTCGTATAATCATATAACTTTGCACATAGAATTACCAGCATTAATTTCATTCATAGCCCGCTTCACATTCACGTCTGGCTCTATATCAGTAATGAGTGTTTGAACAATTTCATATCCATAAGCTGACATAGCCTATAGAGACGATTCAAAGTTACACAAATTCTCAATTCACCTTATCAATAAATACTTAATACTTATTGTAACAGCAAACAAACCTTCTCAAGTTCTTGTTCCACAACTTTTGCAATTTCATTTTTCTGCTCAAAAGCATCATCCAAGTTGAGTTTTGGAACACTTGCCCTAATCACTGCAATGAGAATAGAATTTTACCAAAGCTGATAATTTTCATATTGTAAAACTATTTATTAAATGTTTATGTAGTTTTAAACAAGGCTTTGGTTTATACCATCAAAGACATAAGCTTGAAGTTGTTTTTTTGTGTTGGTAAGTTTGTAAAACGCATCATTGGCCCTGTCTGCCAAGGCATGGTATTGAATGGAAGCAACAACGTTGACAAAGACATTATCCTTTGTCTTGGTCTCGCATTTGATATCCAACTGCTGTAGCCGAAGAGACACATGACCAGCAATTTTTTTCCCAAGGAACCATGGAAGACAATAGCACCCTGGTTGCAGCATCTCTTCGAACTTTCCAAATCCTTCTTTTATTGCGACTTTCGATTGGTCAACTTGCACGCAGCATAAAAGATTCCCCATCTGCTTTATGGAAAATGAAATATATATACAACAAAATCTAAAAATCATCACAGTTTTCAAATAACAAAATTAAGCCCATAAAAGAATATTGAACGATCTAAAAATCAAAAACCATTGCCTGTGAAACCATTTACTCACATGATACAAACATCTCTTATACCAAACCAAATAAGACGAAGTACAATGCGCTTGAAATTGAAGTGAATTAATTGGTGTTGAAAATAATATATTGAATGAGGAGGAATGAAACCACATATAATATTTTGTAAAATTTTATTGATGGTTGTGATTGTTTAAATTTTTAATTCACTTTAATTATTTGAAATCAATTATTTTATAATAAATTAAATTTTTATTTTTTATTTTTCATAAAAATCACTTTTTTTTATAAATAAAGATTTGGACACACAAAATATTATATTTTTTTCTATTTAATCTTCAATAAACTCTTATTTTATCTATTTTTATTTATTTTAATAATGACTATCCTTATAAATTAAAAATATAAAATTAAAAATAAATAAATGAATTATTAAATTAAAAAAAAATTAGTTAACTCTTAATTATTTTAATTTTATTTCAATTGATAATTGATATTTGTTAAGTATTTAGTCAAATAAGTGTCCTAGTTTTTAGGATAGTTTGTTAATTGATTTAGTCAAGTTTGTTTCCTTATTTTTAACTAGAAGTGGGCTGTAGTTTGTTACAGCACGTTGGTTTTATTCTCTATTTATTGTACTGCAATTCACAAGGAATAAACATTCATTTCCAGAACTTCTATTTTCTCTATTCTGTTCGTGTTACATCTAACACTCTGGTACCAGAGCAGTGACCTAAGAGATGGGTTCAGAAGCAAATTTTGCACCAGCCTCCATTCCGAAGTTCGACGGCGACTACGATAATTGGAGCATGGTCATGGAGAATCTCCTTCGATCCAAGGAATATTGGGTTGCTGTTGAATCAGGCTACACAGAGCCGGAGAGTAGAGATGGAATGACGGCAGAGCAAATAAAGAACCTGGAGGAGATGAAGCTGAAGGATTTGAAGGCTAAGAATTACTTGTTTCAGTCACTTGACAAGTCAATTCTGAAGACGATCACGCAGAAGGAGACATCTAAAAAGCTCTAGGACTCCATGAAGTTGAAGTGTCGAGGCAATGCTCGAGTGAAAAGAGCTCAGCTCAATCGTCTACGGCGGGACTTTGAGGTCCTAGCAATGAAGCAAGGTGAATCGATCACTGATTATTTTGGTCGAGTTATGACGGTTGCAAACGACATGAGGAATTATGGAGAAGAGGTGGATGATGTCAAGATCGTTGAGAAGATTTTGAGAACCCTCACTGAGAAATGGAATTATATTATTTGTTCCATTGAAGAAGCCAAGGACATAGATCAACTATCTGTGGATGCCTTGCAAAGTTCTCTGCTCGTTCATGAGCAAAAATTCAAAGTAAGTGAAGAAGAGGAACATGCTTTGAAGGTAACTCATGAAGAGAGCTATGGTGGAAGAGGGCGAGGAAGAGCTAATTTTCGAGGAGGTCGGGGACAAGGCAGAGGTAGAGGCAGCCAATCGAGGAGTAAGGAAACAGTTGAGTGTTACAAATGTCATAAGCTTGGACACTTCCAGTACGAGTGCCAAGCAAATTATGCTGGTTTGGAGGAATCTGAAGAGATGGTGCTAATGGCGTATGTCGACACGCTTGGAGACGCTCGAGATGTTATGTGGTATATTGATTCTGGGTGCAGCAATCACATGTGTGGTGATTCTTCACTCTTTTGTGAGTTAGAAGAAGGGTTCAACAAGGTGGTTAGATTGGGGAATTATGCAAGCATGAATGTTTCCGGAAAAGGAAGTGTTCGATTGACAATAAAAGGAGTAAACCACCTTGTACGGGATGTCTATTATGTTCCCGGTTTGAAGAATAATTTTCTCAGTGTTGGGCAGCTACAAGAAAGGGGTTTTGCTGTACTAATGCAGTCAAATGAGTGTCGCATTTATCACCGCACAAAGGGTTTGGTATTCCAAACCAACATGGCAGCAAATCGAATGTTTGTGTTGTTTTCGAGCACTAAATCAATCAAAAGTGAAAGCAAAGAAGAGTGTTTCCAAGCAACAACCGACGACACCGAAGATGTGGCTCACCTCTGGCACCGAAGATTTGGTCATCTCAGCTACAAAGGGTTGAAGACTTTGCAAACAAAAAGCATGGTGAGAGGCCTGCCAAGTTTCCCGAAGGGTGAAATTGTATGCACAAATTGCTTGAAAGGGAAACAACATCGAGATGTAATCCCAAGGAGAAGTACATGGAGAGCATCGAAAAAATTGGAGCTGGTTCATGCTGATATTTGCGGCCCAATTTCTCCGTCTTCAGAGGGAAACAAGAGGTATTTCATTTGCTTTATTGATGACTACAGTAGGAAGGCGTGGGTGTATTTTCTCTCTTGCAAGTCAGATGCATTCACTACCTTCAAGTTGTTTAAAGCTCTTGTTGAAAAAGAAACAGAACTGTCCATTAAATGTTTAAGAACAGATCGTGGAGGTGAATTCACATCTGACGAGTTCAAGGAATATTGTAAAATGAATGGAATCAAGAGGCAATTAACTGCTGCATATACACTGCAGCAGAACGGAGTCGCCGAGCGGAAAAATAGAACCGTGATGAATATGGTGAGGAGCTTATTGGTTGAGAAAAATGTTCCAAGAAAATTCTGGGCAGAGGCGGTAAACTGGGCGCTCTATGTTCTCAATAGATGTCCAACATCATCGATGAAGGAAACGACGCCAGAGGAAGCTTGGTATGGGGTGATACCTTCAGTTACGCACTTGAGAGTATTTGGTTGTATAGCATATGCTCACGTACCGGATGCTCGGCGAATAAAGCTTGAAGATAAGAGTCGTTGTTGTGTCTTTTTTGGTGTAAGTACAGAATCAAAGGCATATCGACTATATGATCCGACCTCTAAGAGGATTATTATCAGCCGTGATGTCGCCTTTAAAGAAGATGGGCAGTGGAACTGGGAGAAGAAATCTGAAGAAGATAACACATTTGATTTGGAATGGGAAGATGACAACGGTGAAGAGGTGGAGGATTCCGACGATGGTAATGAAGAAGAAAATGTAGCTTCTCCGGTGAGGGATGAATCCAGTGATGGCAATGAAGAAGATGAAGCGGCTCCTCCGATAACACCCCGAGTTAGAAGAGCACCAGCATATTTGAGTGATTATGTCTCTGGTGAGGGTCTTTCAGATGAAGGGGAAGAGGTACAAACTCACTTAGCCTTGTTTGCTAGTGCTATTTATTCTGATCCAATTTCATTTGACGAAGAAGTAAAGGAGGAGAAATGGAGAACAACCATGGATGCCGAAATGAGATCAATTGAGAAGAATGGAACGTGGGATCTTATTGAGCTGCCTATTGGAGCTAAAAGAATAGGAGTCAAATGGGTGTACAAGACAAAATTGAATGAGCTCGGAGAAGTGGATAAACACAAGGCTCGCTTGGTCGCAAAAGGGTATGCTCAAGAATACGGAGTTGATTATGAAGAAGTATATGCTCCCGTAGCTCGCATGGACACGGTTCGAATTATTTTAGCACTTGCAGCACAAAGAAGATGGTGTGTGTTTCAGTTGGACGTGAAATCAGCTTTCCTTCACGGGAAGTTAACGGAGAACGTGTACGTGGAGCAGCCAAGAGGTTATGAAATAAAGAATGAGGAACATAAGGTGTATAAGCTCAACAAAGCTTTGTACGGACTCAAGCAGGCACCACGAGCATGGTTCAGCCGGATTGAATCATATTTCCGAAAGGAAGGTTTTGGGAAGGAGGACAGCGAGCAAACTTTGTTTATGAAAGTCAACAAACAAGGTAAACATTTAATCATTAGCTTGTACGTTGATGATTTAATTTATACCGGAGATAATGAAAATATGATGATTGAATTCAAAGAGTCCATGATGAAGGAATTTGATATGACGAACTTGGGTAAGATGAAGTATTTTCTTGGTATTGAGGTAGTTCAGTTTGATGGTGGTATATTCATCAATCAGGCGAAGTACGTGATGGAAGTGTTGAGACGCTTTGGAATGGAGCATAGCAATTCGGTTGAAAATCCAATGGTTCCAGGATTCAAAATCTCCAAAGATGAAAATGGTATTGAGATGGATGGTTCATTCTTCAAGCAGCTGATTGGGAGCATGATGTACTTGACTGCTACCAGACCGGATATAATGTATGCAGTAAGCTTATTAAGCAGGTATATGTCAAGGCCTACAGAACTTCATCATTCGGCAGCCAAGAGAATTCTACGTTACTTGCAAGGTACAACAACGTTTGGCATTCTTTACAGAAGGGAAGGAAGTCATGAGTTGATTGGTTTTACTGACAGCGATTATGCCGGATCAGTGGAAGATAGAAGAAGCACCTCGGGCTATGTTTTTATGCTTACTGGAGCAGCAGTGACTTGGTCTTCTCGAAAACAACCGATCGTCACACTAAGCACAACCGAAGCTGAATTCATTGCAGCTGCAGGAAGTAGTTGTCAAGCAATATGGATGCAAAGGGTGTTAAAGAAGATTGGCTACATGGGTTGGCTGAAGATTTTGATAATGTTATTAGAAGCCAAATGAATTAAGCGTTTTGATCGAAATAAGGTAAAATATCATGTTTCGAAGTAGTAGAAGCAGTGTTTCAAATAAGTGTGTCAAAGCTTGGAGCTTCGAGCGGCAATTATGGGAACATATCTAAAGGAGTCTCGAAACAACAGCGAGGCTGTGTCTGGGAAGAGCGTTCGAAACGGAGAAACACCAAAGCATTTAAAATTCAAATGGAAGCGGGACTTTCGAAGTTTGAAAATTATGTGTTGAAGCATTTGGGGACACGTGGAAAGATGAAAGAAGCATTGTCCTGCATGTTCGAAACGTGGCATAATCCTATAGCAAGACCGTTATGGTCGAATTAGTATAAATAGAAGTCTTAGTATTAGGATTTCGTGTGTCATATC